CAAAATGTCAAAATGTTAAATGGTCATAATATTGACATCCATATCTTCTAGCTCCTTGCCTTATAGGAAGAGGCTACAGCTTTGACAAAATGTTAAATGGTCATAATATTGACATCCATATCTTCTAGCTCCTTGCCTTATAGGAAGAGGCTACCTTAGGCTGTGTTTGACAACCAACTCAAATGGACCCAGGGTCGATCTTGGCCCCATTTTGGGTAAAACTGGGTCAGCATTGACCCAGTTTTTCATAGGACGAAAAGTATCCTTTAAACTAGTTTTTTGTTGGATTAACACCTCTTAGTTTAATCCCAGTCTAGTTTAGGACAAAACTGTGTCAAGATTGTCCTGACTCGGTTTTTTTCCAAGGGTTGCCAAACGCACCCTTAAGAGCTATGGCTTATGCAGTTTGAGAGTAGGCCACCAAGGAGCCTGCAAGGGGTTCATTACATCCTTCTTTTTTATTTTCCTTTTCCTTTTCTCTGTTTTCATTTTTGTTGAATATAGGAAAGTAAAAAAACTTAAGTTGTCATCTATAAATGGCATGAATAGCATCCACAATATGTGAGAATACTTTTGTTGGGAAAAAAATCATAAACACTAACTTAGTAGTCCCAATACTTCCTAGCTTCCATGTAAAGCGTAATTATTCAACTGGTTCTTTAAGAGTACTCAGAAATTGCAGCATGCTGGAAATAAGAAGCACAACAATCAACAACAACGCTGTGAGGAGTATCGTGTGTAATACGTGTATGACATGTTCTCAGACCTAATCTCATACGTAACAAGTCCTAATATCATACTTAAGAACCAACATATATTTCATGACCTCTAACTTTTTATCTTGTCAAAGCTAATTGTTCATTATGCTTATCTATTTATTTATGGTTCATATTTCCATTCTTTTATATTATTTGAAAAAAGTGATCCATATGCATTCATTTTTCTTTTATTCCCTTATGGAGGTCCATATGCATTCATCACCCTCCGATCAAGTAGAATAAATTAGCCATAGTTCTGTGAGATAATGTTTTTCATGTTTTGTTTCTTCTTTTATTTTCTTTACATAGTTGCAATGTTTGATCATTTACTATTGTGCTGACTACCATAGCTCTTTGTTTACCATGCACGATTCTGTGTGAATTTCATTTTCAATATATACTAATTCACGGCAAAAACTTTATTAGTGCTCATTTCTGCAAGCAAATGCCATTAGATCAGTTCTGAGTAGTATATTGTTTTTGTCCACATCTACAGTTCTTTGGGCCAGGCTTCTCCGTGCATAACAGCATTTGCAGCGGGGCAAGCTGCAGCATACAAGATGTTCGAGACAATCAACAGAAAGCCAGAGATTGATGCTTCTGATCCCTCAGGAAAGAAGCTTGATGACGTTCGTGGAGATATAGAATTCAAAGATGTTTACTTCAGCTATCCAACTCGCAAAGATGAACAAATTTTCAGAGGGTTTTCCTTATTCATACAAAGTGGCGCTACTGTGGCTTTGGTAGGAGAGAGTGGAAGTGGGAAATCTACCGTAGTTAGTCTGGTTGAGCGGTTTTATGATCCAGATGCTGGCGAAGTTCTGATAGATGGTATAAATTTAAAGGAGTTCCAGCTTAAATGGATTAGAGGAAAAATAGGTCTAGTGAGTCAGGAGCCTGTACTCTTTGCTTCGAGCATTAGAGAGAATATAGCCTATGGAAAGGATGGTGCAACGACTGAAGAGATCAAAGCTGCAGCTGAGCTTGCTAATGCTGCCAAGTTCATAGACAAAATGCCTCAGGTTTGGTATATAATTGAAAAATGGATTAATTACACTGGGTTACTCTGAGATGTGGTGTAATTACTCAGGTGACCCTGGAGTCTGCTATCTACACGGCAACCATGAGCTCATTGATTCTATATACATGGGTAACCCTGATAACGGAAAAAATAAACCGACTCCAGATTGCTGATTCTAATTACATGGATAACATTGATAACAAAAAACTTAAACAGACTCCAGGGTCACCCATGTAATTAAAATAAAAAACCTTAGGACTATCCGTGTAGATACGAAGACTCTAGGTTCACCCGTTTAATTAAACCATATTTCGATTACATGGGTGTAATTAATGTGATAGTGAAATTGATCTTTTATTGTATCTAGTATTGACTGAAGTATTGAGATGTATTGCATTCAGGGACTTGATACTATGGTTGGCGAGCATGGGACACAATTATCAGGCGGTCAGAAACAAAGGGTTGCAATTGCGAGAGCCATTCTGAAGGACCCCCGGATTCTACTTCTTGATGAAGCCACTAGTGCCTTGGATGCAGAATCTGAGAGAATAGTGCAGGAGGCACTTGATAGAGTAATGGCAAACCGAACTACTCTTATTGTTGCTCATCGTTTGAGTACTGTTAGGAATGCTGACACAATTGCAGTAATACACAGAGGTTCAATTGTGGAACAAGGTACAATCCTACAAGCACTGCTTAACTTGTAAAATCAATTATCATTAGGCATATGAGCATAGAGTTGATTTGATAGACTAAGCGGCAGTTTAGTGTTGCTTTTTCTAGGCTGATTGTGGTTATTTTTGCAAGAAGCAGTCAACAATGATGTTTGGTAAAACTGCTCTTGCATGCTTATTAAAACAGTTACGACTTTTTAAGTGTCTGCTTTTAGAAGCAACTCGAGGATGCTTTTCAAATTAGACATTTCTTTTTGTAGTTTTTATACCATATAAATCCTTTAGCTTTTGACAATATTATCTGAGAATTGAGGTTTCTCTAATATAAAGGAATGTTTTTTATTACTAATTAATTAGCAAACAGCTAAAGTTATGGCTAATTGGTCATTTTCACTTATAATGATATTTAAGTACAATTGTACTAGACACCTAGGAGAAGCTTGTGATATATGATTACCAAACAGTCATTTTCGGTAGCTTGCTTCGATAAGCTGCTTATATAAGCAGCTTATCATAAGCACCAAGAATAGCAAACTCGCCCTTCGACCCATCTTTTTATGACAATTTGTGATCTATAGCATTATATGATATGACCTAACACTGTTCTGTATATTTTGCTTAGGTTCGCATTCTGAGCTTCTAAAGGATCCAGATGGAGCTTATAAACAACTCATACGGTTGCAAGAAATGAATAAAAATTCAGAAAATACATCTCAGTCTGACCACGACAAGCTTAATCTTTCGTCTGATGTAGGGAGGCGTTCTAGCCAACATATGTCTTTGAATCGTTCTATAACCCGGGAATCGTCATCATCTATAGGGAACAGCAGCCGCCACTCTTTCTCAGTACCACTTGGTTTGCCTGTTGGAATTGATTTCCAAGATAACAAATTGGAGGAAGGAAATACTGACATCAGTTCCCAAGAAATAAAGGAAGTATCTCTCAAACGCCTTGCTTACCTTAACAAACCTGAGATCCCCGTGCTCGCAATTGGTTCAATCTCTGCCATTATTAATGGAACCATATTTCCCATATTTGGAATTTTACTATCTAGTGCGATAAATACATTTTATGATCCTCCTGCAAAGATGAAGAAGGATTCCAAGTTTTGGTCATTATTGTTTTGTGTATTCGGTGTGATTTCTTTTCTAGCTCTTCCAGCTAGGCAATATTTCTTTGGCGTGGCTGGATCAAGATTAATAAGAAGGATCAGACTCATGACTTTTGAGAAGGTGGTTCACATGGAGGTTGGATGGTTTGATGAGCCTGAAAACTCGAGTGGAGCAGTTGGAGCTAGACTATCAGCAGATGCAGCAACTGTTAGGGGTCTTGTGGGTGATGCACTTGCGTTAATTGTTCAGAATATTACTACGTTAATTGTCGGTTTGGTGATTGCTTTTATTGCAAACTGGCAACTATCTCTAATCATATTAGCACTCTTGCCCTTCATTGGCCTTAATGGATATGTCCAGATGAAGTTCATGCAGGGGTTTAGTGCGGATGCAAAGGTTTGGCTTTACAACTCCACAAAATTATTTGTTCATAAAGCAGTAGGGAAGTCATCGACTATTATCACAATTACTAGTATTGCTTTTTCATCTTTAGGTAATTATTGGGTGAGAGATATATTATTGTAATATAGAAATTATAGGTGTAAGTTTTCTAGCAAATTACCATTAAACATAGTGCAGTTAGATGAATTTCGGAAAAAAATCTTAATAACTACGATTTTTTGTCAGATTGACAGAGAGATGGAAAGAATTGGTTAGGTGCCTCCTTTAGCTGCACCGATTTGGGGCACCTTGATTGCAAATAGGATGAGGTGAATGTTGGGTTACCTTCAACGAAATAAAATCTTTTCTCATGAGATCTTCTGAGAAATCATGTTGGTAACTACTATAGTTTAAATTTAACACGGTCAAAGGTTTTGGAAATCGTACACCACGCCAACCTGGTGGCCACATGATACAGATATGTGAACTTATAATATATGAAATTGGGTTTACGTTACGTTTCCTGGTGTGGCATAACATTTCGCACTTAATGCTCTGAAAAGAATTTGTTGTATGAATAACGACCTACAAGTCGATCATAGTTGTCAGCTCCGCCACTTAAATAGCTTGATATAGTGCTATTCTCTAAAAAGAATTTGTAATATGACCTAGAAATTAATCACCATCATCGTATAGGTTAAGCTTACAACCAAGAAGCCATCTCTAAATTTCTCTCATCTAGAAAGATCCAGAGGAAAATATGTGATTCTAAATCTTTGAAACATCAAATGATTTTAACTGAAATGACATGCAGATGATGTATGAGGAAGCGAGTCAGGTTGCAAATGATGCAGTGGGGAGTATAAGAACAGTTGCTTCCTTCTCAGCTGAAGATAAGGTGATGGAACTGTACCAGAAGAAATGCGACGGACCTATGAAGACAGGAATTAGGCAAGGATTGATTAGTGGTATTGGCTTTGGAGCCTCCTTCTTTGTGCTTTTTTGTGTTTACGCCGCCTGTTTCTATGCTGGAGGACGCCTTGTACAGGATGGAAAGACCACATTTGGTGAAGTTTTCCGAGTAAGCCTCATCTGGACTTCCAAAAAGCTTTTATTAGAAGATATGTTAACATCTGCTTTTACAGTTGCATTTAAAACGAAATTAATTAGTACAAGTTTCAGACATCGTTGGAGATTTGATAACTAAAAGTAGCCTCATACGACTATACAAGAGATCTAGACTTGAGCGAAATAATCACATTTTTGCTTGTGAAACTAAATTCATTCTTGATGTTGTTGTTACTGTGCGTTAATTATCTACATCATAGAAGAGGTAACTCAACTGAGCTCAACAGAGACAGTTAATGTCAAGTTATTAACCAAAGGTCTCTAGTAAATAAAGTGAAATGTATACCAAATATTAGACGAAAACAAACTGTACTCCTACCATACACATTACCACCGCATGATTAAAGCTCTAACTTGTATGCAAACTATTTGAAGACCGTTACCTTAATTGTTGACTTCATATGAGGATTAATGGTAAATCCTCATCTCAAATTGAATTGCAGGTTTTCTTTGCTCTCTCTATGGCAGCCATTGGAATTTCACAATCAAGCTCCCTGGCACCAGATTCTAGCAAAGCGAAATCCGCAACAGCTTCTGTGTTTGCAGTTCTTGATCGCAAGTCTAAGATTGATGCTAGTGATGATTCCGGGACGAAATTAGAGACTCTAAAGGGAAACATTGAGTTTCGGCATGTCAGTTTCAGATATCCAACAAGGCCAGATGTTCAGATTTTCCAAGACTTATGCTTGTCAATTCCTGCCGGAAAGGTAAATACACTTTCACTAAGTACAAGAAAAAGGTTCTTGATTAATCTTTATTTCTTTGAAACTGTTGCTATATCATTTTTATGTTATTCTATAACACTGGAACTGCTTAAATATTAAAATATAATCTTTATGTAAAAGGTTCGGTACATTACGTAACAGAAAACTAGTAAAACATAGTCAACCGATTAAATTTTGACAAGCTTCTTCAATTTACAGACTGTTGCATTGGTCGGTGAGAGCGGAAGTGGCAAATCAACAGCAATACAATTGTTACAGAGATTTTATGATCCTGATTCAGGACACATATTGATGGATGGAATCGAGATAGAAAAGTTCCAGGTGAAGTGGTTAAGGCAACAGATGGGCCTAGTGAGTCAAGAACCATCCTTGTTCAATGACACCATTCGAGCAAACATTGCCTATGGAAAAGAGGGAGAAGCCACTGAGGCTGAGATCGTCGCTGCTGCTGAGTCAGCAAACGCACACAAGTTCTTATGCAGTCTACAGCAGGTTCTTATGCAGTCCAAAATTTTAATCCTAGAGAAGTCCTCTTCTTCCTAAACCGTCAAGAGTTTTTTTCTTTCTTAGACCTTTCTATTGATAGCCTATGATCATGAAGATAAAAATTTTGAATAAAATTCACAAAAAACACTCTTTTAAGTTTGGCCAATTTTGAGATATCCTATTAAATTTTAAACATATCATTTAGCTCCCTTTAGGTTTGGGATGTTTCAGAAAACCACCAAAACTTTATTTATTTATTTATTTATTTTTAACTAAACCCTCTAACGATGTTAGATGAACTGGTAAAAAGACCAAAAATAAAATTTTCAAATTAACAGTCAAAGTAGTTAAATTAATTAATTAGGGTATGAAAATTACCTTTGAATTTATAAAAAAGGACATGGAAGGATTTTTCCGATCAGGGGCATTTTGGTCTTTGGATACATGAGATTTTCACATGGGTTGTAAAATTTACCCCATTGTTTCTCACAAATTTTGATCATATTGAATTCCTCTGCCTCTCCATGATCTGATTTTGAATTTACAGGGTTACGACACAATGGTTGGAGAGCGAGGGATCCAACTATCTGGTGGTCAGAAGCAACGAGTAGCGATAGCTCGTGCAATCGTGAAGGACCCCAAAATTTTGCTCCTCGACGAGGCAACAAGCGCACTTGATGCTGAATCTGAACGTGTAGTTCAGGATGCATTAGATCGAGTTATGGTCAACAGGACCACAATAGTAATTGCTCATCGGCTGACCACAATAAAAAATGCTGATGTAATAGCTGTAGTTAAAAATGGTATGATCGTGGAGAAAGGAAAGCATGAGGCGTTGATGAAGATCAATGACGGGGCTTATGCCTCCTTAGTAGCACTTCATTCAAGCTCAGCTTCATAGTTACAACATTGTTTTTATCGATGAATTTATTGGGTTATAGTTTTTTCAACCATGTCACTTTGCATCTCATGTAACTATTGGTAAATTATGTTACAACGTGATCGGCGATAATCTTAATGTAAAATGGTTCGCATAGGCTACTGATATTCTTATTACAATTTCTTCATAATGTGTGTGTGTATATATATGAACGCATGTATGAATCAGAGAGTGAAGCATCATTAAAGCACACATTGTTCAATGTGGGCTATTTGTTGCGGATATTACGCGGAAATCAAGATCACAAAGGAAGAACATGTACACTAAAAGAAAGACAAGAGTTGATGAGTTGCGAACACAAGGGCTTTATACGGTCCGGCAAGTCCTGCATCCACGAGAATCAGCAAATAAAACATCACTAATCAGAAGATAAAAGGTTCGAGCCTCAAGTGTTTTAGAGAGGGTATTTAACGTTTGGATCCCTTATTGGATCTATTAGCATAAAACCCGTTATGTTTTAAATCTGAGTACATTCATGCTTCTCTACCCTCATCTACTCCTCATTCTCACTAATTCGCTGTGTCCTTCTAAAGCCTCGCCTCAATTCCCGCGAGTTCTGTAGTCAACGATTCAACAGTTACATTTTACAGTAAACGGTGGAAGTATTGTACTCCTATATATAAAGACAAATGCCGCCAGTCCCAGATTATGGGACATATGACAGGTTATTGGTTTTACCCTGGAAAAGCTCTTCGTTGTTTTAGCTTGTAAAGACCCTCATTTGGTTTTGTTTTCCTTGATCTTAATTGGAGAGCCACACATAAGTCAAACAATTTATTTTATATTCATCTTTCTTTCATTAATGTGCTCCTTGCCTTAAGGCAGATAGTTGACTTAGCTTATTCTGTACTCACAATTGCTGCTAAGTAACCATCTTATATTAAAAATGGATGTTGATGTTAGAAAAATTATAGAGATTATCGGCAGAAATAAACACAACAACAAACAACAGCACCAACGAAAAAATCATGCGCAAATAAACACCAAGATTTAACGTGGTTCGACAAATCGTGCATATGTCCACGGGGCAATCTAAAAAGAAATATCCCACTATGAATCAAGTGTACAAATCCTTAAAGTTACATGCAAACTTGAGGATTAAGTCACAAGAGAAAAATACAGTGTTACTTTTAGGGCACCAAAATCATAAAACACATCTCAACTCAAATCCCCAACACTTGCGAGGAGTCCAGTGCCCTTAACGGCATCGTCATTCCGAAAAAAAAGGCGTTTGAATCACTGCAATCGGAACTAGATAATCAAGAAATTAATTTCTCTCTCCTGACCTCGACAATAGCGCCTACCTTTTGTTTTGCTCTCCGTTCTCGGAAAAACCGACTGGAGATCATGAACCAATTCCTTTTAATAAAAGAGTATTAATCCCAAGTCCTTCAATGCAATTCCCACTTCGAATAGGCCCTCCAAATCCTTTCTCTCCTAGGATTTGATAAACAATGGACCTAATGCACGTGGGTCCGACATAGGCTGGACCCACAACAATCTCCCTCTCTAGCTCAACAAGGGGATATGCCCATCTGTGACTCCTTGCCGAGAGTCAATGTTGGCCAATCGCCAACATAACTCGGTCTTCTCTATGGAACAGTCTTTGTCAAGAAATATGTGGGATTCTCATGTGTGTGAATCTTCTATAGTTTCACCTCCTCTTTCTCAACAAATTCTCAAAGTCATTGATACCTCACATCGATGTGTTTTGTCTTAGAATAGAAGATAAAATTCTTGCTCAAATTAATAACACTTTGACTATTAATAAAAACTTGATACATATTTTGATACAAGCCTGACTCTTGCAGAAATCTTGTCATTCAAATCATCTCCTTACTAGCTTCTATAGCTGCAATATATTTTGTCTTTATTGTAAATAAAACAACATACTTCTACAATCCAAACTACCAAGATACACTGCCCCTACAAAAGTGAACAACGTACTTGAGCTAGACTTCTTGTGATCAAAATAACTTGCCATATCGGCATCTGCAAAACATTGTAGTACTAGCTTAGAACCTCCAAAACTTAAATACAATCTATAACTGCCTTTCAAATATTTTAAGATTCATTATACACCTTCCTAATGTACTTTTCTTGGATTAGAAAGAAATATGCTAACAACGCCAACTGAATGAGTTATATTTAGCCGAGTACAAACCATAACATATATCAAAATCCCTATAGCTGAGGAGTAAGGAATATTCTCCATCTCACTCTTTTCCTCATCTATAGCTGGGCAAAACTTTTTGCTAAGTTTCAAGTGACTTACAATAGGAGTACTAACTGCTTTTACACCTTTTATGTTGAATCTATCAAGCAACTGCTCAACATATTTTTTTTGTGATAACCACAATTTCTTAGCTTTCCTATCACCACCAATCTCCATACTAAAAATCCGTTGTGCAAAACCTAAATCCTTCATGTCAAAGGATTTAAACAACTTCTTCTTCAGCCCACTAATCATCTGACTATCCTGCCAACAATCAACATGTCGTCCACACAAAACAAAAGAATAATGAAGGTAGAATCTAAAAATCTTCTGAAATATATACAAGAAACTGCAACTGTCCTCTAGTAACAATGAGTGGCGGTAGATGACATGTAGCTCCTGTATCCACTATCCACTTAGAATTCTGACATGTAACATGCATGCAGTCTTCTTTCCTGAAAGTGAGAATAACATCGATCTCAAACAAGATAGTTATAGTGTCATTGTCTATTTTTTTTTCTTCTCAACTTTGTTCCCAATTTGTTCTTTCTTCCATACCCAATAATTTTTCTTGATATGACCAAGCTTCCCACAATGAAAGTAACATCTCTCTTTAGACTTTGATCTGTCATTGGATGCGCCACCACCTCTAAATTGATCCCTATACCTGCTCTGGCCCCTTTTCTCTGTGACAAATGCATGCGAGTTATCTATACCGGTAGACTTCTTCGGAGTCTCCTCATTGAGTAAACTACTAGTAACTATACTCATTGATAACATACTATTTGGACTTTGGAGCTTTGTTGTTGACCGTTATCATTAATGTTTCCCAACTATCTGGCAAAGAACCCAATAATAATAAAGTTTGTAACTCATCATCGAGAGTCATCTTCATGATAGGTAATTGATTAAACCAAACTCTTGAACCCATTCAAGTGCATTGCTATGCTGCTTCCTTCCTTGAACTTCAAGTTTACCAACCATCTCATAATGATGTATTTTCCTCCACAATCTTCCACTTGTAGAGATCCTCAAGCTTCTTTCATAGAGACTTTGCGTTAGTCTTTCTTGATATATAATAAAACACGTTAACATCTATCCACATCTGAATATAATCGATCGCCTTCCTGTGTTATTTCTCTCACTCTTTGTCGGTCATCTTTTCTGGCTTATCTTCATCTCCTTCAATATGATCATGTAAATATTTACAATAAAGAATATCTTTTATCTTGAACTTTCATACTTGCTAATTGGAATCATCCAATTTTATTATTGTACCAAAACTCTCCATCTTTTTCATCTCAATGCATACCTCAAACCAAGGTTCTGATACCACTTGTTAGGAACTTATTGAGATTATCTACGGAAAGAAACACAAGAACAAATAACAGCAACAACGAAAATATCACACTCAAACAAACACCAAGATTTAATGTGGTTTGGCAAATCGTGCTACATCCACATGGCAATCCAAAGAGAAATATTTCGCTATAAATCAAGAGGACAAATCCTCAAAGTTACACCCAAACTTAAGGATTAAATTACAAGAGAAAAAGATTCAATAGCAGTGCCTTCTTCTTCAATTACTAACAGTAGCAAAGAACCTTAGATATTAGTCCCACACCACAGCTCTTTCAAAGGAAAGCAGTCTTTTCAAGAAGAAAGTCACACCGCTAATAGGCGGAAGAAGAGATTCCTAGCTACTAACTCTAATAAGACTAATAGCCGTACCGCAGAAAGAAGGTCAACCTCATCCAGGTAATCACAGCTTTCTTCCCCTCAGGTCAAAGAGTAAGAACTCGCTTTCGAGCTAACCTTACATAGAACTACCTGCCAACAAGCAACAAGAATTCTCATTCATGGCTAACTAAGCATTCGTTCGGAGTTGACAAGGGGGAGGGCTTTTCTATATTATGTTATGAAGGATAGGCTGGCTGCACTTCCTTTGAGGTAAGAAAAGTTCCTTTTGTGTTACATCTAGGGCACTAAAACCCTAAAACCAGTCTCAATTTAAATCTCCAACACCTCCAGAGAGTCCAACATCGTACCCTTGACAGCATCGTCCTTCCGAAGAAAAGGGCGTTTGAATCACCGCAATCAGATAACCATATATAATCAGAAATTAATTTTCTGCCCCCCTCCTTTTTTTTTCTTCTCCCCTGCCCTCAAGAATAGCGCCTTCCTTTTGTTTTGCCCTCTGTCCTCGGGGAAACCGACTACAGGATTTCGTAAAGGAATATTAATCCCAAATCCTTCAATGCAACTCCCATTTCCAATAGGCCCTCCAAATGCCTTTGATAAACAAAGGACCTAAATGCGTGTGGGGCCGACCCGGGCCTGACCCACAACAGTTGAATCTTCATTTTTCCTTTTATTTTGCTGGACGGCCGCCTCGTATCGCTCTTAAACACCCATAGATTCCCTCTTCTCTATCCCCTCATCATATTGTCAGTACCCATGATGAAGTATTGATGGGCATAGAAGAAGAGAAGGGGTAGAATTGGTGCTTCAGCCGATAAAATGGCCATAGGAAATAGAAACGAATGCGACGGGGCGTCCTCTGTTATTGCGAAACGCTCTGTTCTTCCATTTTACAAGCTGTTCTCTTTCGCAGACTCCACCGATGTGCTTCTGATGATCGCGGGCACCATTGGTGCTCTGGCCAATGGTGTTGCGTTGCCTCTCATGACGGTGCTTTTTGGGAGTTCGATTCAGGCTTTGGGAGGAACCAGTGACATCCACGAAGTGGGTCACAAAATCTCCAAGGTATTTCTTTCTAGCTAGCTAGAGGATAAAAACAAGGGTAAATTATATTCATGATTCATGTCTTTCAATTTTGAGAAAATGCTACTAATATCTCTGGTGAAGCAACAGGCTCTTCGGAAATGTTAAACCTACTGACAACAGCTCATCAGTACTCTACTGATAAACTGTCACTTGATTTTCTGCCAAAAAAATTAATAATAATAATAAACTGCAGCTTGGATGAACGGACGAGAACTTCAAAGTGTTTTAATTTCATTGTAGCAGTCGAATTAGCAACCCGTTAGAATAAAAAATTACAACCCTCGACCCACGACGACCTTGGGGTTTTAATTTTGTGGCAGGAGCTTTAAGATAGTATCGAAGCGAGCACGTTCATGACCACGATGCTTTTTCTAATAAAGCAGATTTAAAAAAAATACTGCTCTATGAGTCCAACTTAATTTTAGCCAAAAGAAAATGGCTCCCAAGCTACGTCAGAATATAAAATTATAGCTCTTCCCCCAGTTCTGGAGTGTCCTTGTTTGAATTTGTGAACAAGAAATGACTTGAGAGGTTCTAATTTTATGTAGAGATATCGTTAACCCTTCACGCGATCAATTTCAGGTGTGCCTTCAATTTGTCTACTTAGCTGTAGGAGATGGGATAGCTTCATTTATTCGTAAGTTTCTCCCTCCAACTTCTTCTACTAGTGTGTATGAAAAAAATACACGGAAGTACCTAATTTTTCTAGGAGAGAATACCAAAGTGTAGCTTAATTGTAATTTTTCTAAAAGCGAATACGGAACTCCGTAAATGTCTCTTTGTTGGCAGAGGTGTCATGTTGGATGGCAACCGGGGAAAGGCAAGCTGCGAGGATAAGGAATCTGCACTTGAAAACGATATTACGACAAGAAATTGCTTTCTTCGACAAGGAAACAACCACCGGGGAAGTTGTCGGGAGGATGTCCGGCGACACTGTTCTAATTCAGGACGCTGTGGGAGAGAAGGTATTGATTTCAGATGAATTTCACACGAATCACACGATTTTGAGGTTAACCTTTAAACTTTAAAAATGTCACTTAACCCCCTAAATCTAGGGTTAACACTTCAGTTATTTGCTAATTACATGTAAGGAGTCCGGTAAGGAAATGTTGAAGTACATAGAGGAGTTTGTGAGACACAATAAAGTCCGGATGGGTTTCATGAAATAAACAAAAGTTGACACGAGTTAACCACGACATGACATGCCAAAGTTCAAGAGAATTTTCTCAAATTAAATAGTTGATAAGCCGCAATGCTTCCCAGAGTTCAACTGTTTTTAATTTCTTCTTCTTTTACTTGGAATTAATCTACTAATTTCTTAACAATAAAAGGTCTTTCAATTATTTAAATTAATCAAGTTGGCAACAGAGTTTGACAATGTTTATTTTGTTTGCAGAGTTTCAGATAACATGTTCATTTCGTATCACAAAAAAAATTTAAAAAAAAGAAAAAAAGAAAAGAAAAGATAACATGTGCATTTCTTTATTTTGTTTACAGAATTTAGTGTGACATGTGCCTATATTTATTGGTTTCTTATATTAGTCCCTTACTTCTTTTATATTTTGAATTAGGCCCTCACATCATGAAATTATTATTAGGTCCCTCAAATCTTGAGTTATTTTTGAAACTAGTCCCTCAAATCATTGAAATTTCTATTAGATCTCCCAAATCTTGTGTTATTTTAAAATTAGTCCCTCAAAGCAAAAGAGACAATAGCAAATAAAGACAAATTCTTAAAATCATTGAAATTACTATTAGATTTCCAAATTCTCATAAATTATTTCAAATTAATCCCTCTAATTCGTATTTGATTGGAGGAACTAATTTCAAAACAACTTAAGTTTTCGGGGTCCTAATAGTAATTTCAATGATTTGAGGGTCTAATTTCAAATAACTTATGATCTGAGGGACTTAATAGTAACTTCTATTATTCGAGGGACTATCCTGAATATGAAAGATTTAAGGGGCTAATATCAAAAAACCCTTATTTATTGTGTGTATTGTTCGATAGCACTGTTTAGCGATGCTGTTGTAAAATCTTCGTTGAAGCCATCATCACGCTTGTTTCAATAGGAAGCAAACGGCCCCAAAACGTCGTTAGAGCTAGAAAAAAAAAAAACTAAACTAGTAATATTGATGTATAAAAAATATCGATCTTATAATTTAACCTATCTACATGCATATCCATATATATGACAAGTATGTAGAGTTTTACTTTCAAGTTATATGCCAACGTTTATATTTGAGTAGTGATAATTATACTACATCTTTTCAAACTATTCTCAAACTACAACACTTGGAGTATGGTTAAAATACCAATTTAGCCTACAAAGTGACATACTTTGTGACCAATAAGACCCAAAAAGTGACGCTGACGATAATAACACTTGTAAAATAATATAGTTAACCACTTACACCTACTTCGATCACCGGAATTTTAGTTTGACCACGAAAAGTACAAAAATTTTGCACATATATCCCTCATATCTCTCACACTTACATATTGACCATCTAAAATTTAAAATATTTGTAAAAATTCCTCTTTCTCTCTCCCTCCCTCTCCCTCCTCCATCTCTCTCCCCCCATCATCTCCTTCATCCTTTTCTTCTCCCATCTATCACATCCTCTCCACTTTCCTCCTTCCCAAAATGCTTCATCCCCCATTGTCTCCTTCTCAAAACACTCTCCTCTCTCTCTCTCTCTCTCTTTCTCTCTCTCTCTCTCTCTCTCTCTCTCTCTCTCTCTCTCTTCCTA